GCTGCAGAGCAGACGCAGCTTGGCAGCCTCAGCATCCCTCCTGCTGCTTCACTGCCAGCAGCCCTTTGCAGAGAACGGCGTGGTCCCCGCCTGGGGCCAGGGGCTGTAGGAGACGCATGCTCTCTCAGCGGTGGTGGCCAGCAGCCTGCATAAGCAAAGGGTGAGCAGGACCAGTGAGGACCCCTGGGAGCACAGAGCCCAGGACGAGTTGCAAGGGTGACCCAAACACCCTGCCCACCGTCTCATGTTTCTACCCATCACTTTGGTGAACAAGCGTTTTGACGCCCAGGTACCAATCCCAGCCATTCCCACTCCGTAAGGCATCAGAGCTGAGATGAGGCTCCAGTGACGGCCCTTGTAGGGCACAGCTGAGCCCTGGCGAACACAAGGCGCTGCCCTCTCATCCCCTCCCCACCACGCCACAGGAAGGATCGAGTTGTTCAACCAAGGTTGGCTCTGTGTGGAATCTGCTTCTGCAGTGAAGATCTGCTTCAACACTAAACAAGGTGACTCCTCGCTTCCCTCAGTTTTGCAACAGTCTCCCCTCCCGAGGCCCCTGACTTACCATCCCTGGCACGGCAGCCACATCTCATGTACGTGGGCTGCTTCTAAGGAAGAAATGCCTGAGCTGCTGCCAGTGGTGCACCAGACAGGGGATGCCATTCCCCCACCCTGAAGTATCTGTAATTCTCTCGATCAGGTTTCTGAAGACAGGCAATAACCTTTTCCTGAAGAAAGCAGACACGCTTGGGTTTCTCCTCCCCATCCTCCTGGGTAGAAGGCAGCCCGGCAGCTGCCACATCCCCGAGGCTCAGCATCTCCGAGGAGCGGTGATCAAAGCCACCCCTCTCCCATCACGGTAGGCTCCGGATGTCAGCTCCATGACACCCCGCCTACCCATCCTGCCGGAGAGACTCTGTGCATTCATCAGGCATCTCCAGAGAGGCACACGGCAATCTGGAAGGCCCAGAGATGCCAGACCGCTAATGTGCTAGGAAAAAGACGTCAGTGAATATTACAAACGCCCCAGAGAATGAGAGGCTGGCCAAGGGAGGAAAGACCTGGAAGGAATCAGACCAAAAAAGAGGGCGAGAGCAGGCACTTGGGAAATTCACAGAGGAATGGCACTGCCTTCTTTCTTACTTCAAAAAGGGGGATATTGCTGAGGGCAGATTCAAGTGCACTGAAAACAGATAAAGAGGGTCTTGCATTCCTCTTCTGTGCAACACCAGTGTCAGGTGCTGCCACCCTTGATCCAGGGAATACTAAAAACGCAAGGCACAAGTCCTCCTTGTGCTCTGCTCCTTCGAGATGGACACAGCCAGCAGGGACTCAGTGACCGCAACCCATCTTCACCGGAGCAGGATTCATACCGCAGCAGGAGCATCACCCCCGCCCAGGGCAGCATCGCCCCATCACCAGGCTGCCAGTCACACTGGGGACAGCCTGTGGGCCCGCAAAAGCGCTCGCAGGTCACAAACCAGATCGCACCGTTTAGGCATGGGGAGGCTGAGCATCCTCGCAGGCTGAAGCCCTTGGCTTGCCCAGCCTTCCCTTCCCTCCGACCCCTCCAACTGCAGCGGCAGAGCCTGGCTCAGCAGCAGATGCAGGGGAAGCAGATCCAGCCCAGAGCTGCCAGCCGCCCAGCAGGTCCACGCAGTGTGGCCACGCCAGCCTGCTCTAGCTGTGCCGAAGCCAGAGCAGCATCTAGGTCAGGCTCAGAAGAAAACAAAAAGCAGCCAAACAGCCCTCGGCTAGGACCAGGGACGCTGACACAGTAACCATTCCGCAACGGCTTAGCCCCAGCGCGGCCCTGCTCCTTCCTCGTGTCATGGGAGAGCTCCCTATGGAAAAACGGAGCAAAATAATACAGGGAGCAAGCTTCAGATGGCTCCTGAAGTGCAGCACCTGAACCCGACACCTCCTCAGGAACACAGGCAGCTGCCTGCCGGCTGCCCGGAGGCTTTCAGACCTGCGGGCTGGCAAAGGGCATCGCGGGCCCAGCCTACAGCATCTGCACCCTCCCGCCTCCCTGCAACCACTGGTCACAGCCGGCGGGATCTAACCAGCTGCCCCTGGCACAGGTCATGCTGGATATACACAACAATGGTTCTCTTCGGCTACTCAGGCACTCAGAGCCCTGCAAAACTGCGGGGGCATTTGCCCAACCCACCACACAATAAACAACAGCGGGGGCACAGAAGGGTGCTCCAGGGACATGAATCCTCTCCATGAAAACCACCAAAAGAGCGTGACGGGCACGATTTATCCAGAGACTTCCCTGGCTACAACTGTCACACATGATGACTCTCACTGCGGGTGACCTGGAGAGGCTCCGACCCTCTGACTTGAGATAACCAGCTCCTTATGCTGTTCCTAACTCCTGCACTTATCACTGACTCAGAGTGGAGTCAAACCCTGACTTTAATCAGTATTCAGTGTTATTAATAGAGCCATGCACAAACCCTGGCAGGCAGAAGAGCCCAGGCCAGTAGAAGCATCATTTATCTGCCAGCATCACCTCTGACAAAGCGGCTCTACCCACCTGCCTCCCACCAGCCCAGCCCCCAGCAAAGCCCACCCTTCCTTCGCTTTGTACCAGAAACACCCCACAGCCCTCCCTTGCAAAGACAGACACAGGAGGGCTCCGAGCTGCTCAACCTCTGAGTTTTTTCTGATCCCACCCCACATTTCTTCCCCTGGGCAGGGACCATTGCTGCCCCCAGCCAGCAGCTCAGAGCCCCACCGCTGCACCTTCAGAGGACACCACCAAGATGGCAAAGCCTGCAGAGCCTGGGAGAAGCCGGGCAGGCTGGGGGAGGGGAGCCGAAGCATCCTAGAGGGCATCTTTGCCTCCTCCCAAGCAGCAGACGACTAAATCCAGAGCAGCACAGCGAGAGCGTGAGCTGCCTCTGGGCACAGCCCCACCTCGCCCAGCCAGCACCGGGAGCCCCCCGCCCTGGCACTGCCCACCCTTCCCGGGCAAGTGTGCGCTTCATTGTTGGTGCAAACAAAGGAGCGGTTTGTGTCTGCCGAAGAGAAAGGAAGTCAGAGGCAGAATCATCCAGCAGCCCTGGACATATGCAGATTAAGCTGCAGAAGGTTGCATTAATGTAGCGTTTTCCAGACACCAGTTAATCCCCCCCCGGCCGTGCTCTGTCTCCGTCTCCCTGGCAGAGGCGGGCTGTGTCTCACCTGCGGCCACAAAGGCAACTGGTGCCCAGTTACAAAGCTGACATCCCTGACCCGACACCTCCCGTGAGGCTGGGCAAGCTGCTGGGGAGGGATGGGCGCGAAACGCAAGCTGCGTGCCCACCAGGACGCCCGTGGGCATCGCTTTGGCAAGGAACTCGGTCTATTCTTATCGAGGAAAAATAAGGACACTGGGATTCCCACTAGCTGTCTGGGGACTGAGCTATGGATTGACAGGCTGTCGGTCCCGGGGCGGATGTCTGGCTACAGGGTGAGTGGAAGGGAGAAGCACTCTCTTGCTGTTTGCCCTTCAGGGATGCATCCTCCACTGCCCTCCCCCCCGTCACCTCCAAGATGGCCCAAGGGAAGGTTTTTGCTCGGCTGCCTCCCCCAGCGAGCGCTGGGGTGCCCTGCTCCGTCCGGGTGATGAACCCCAGGTCACACGGGGGCTGCTCAGGGCTCTTCCCAGCAGTACTGTGATGCCAGCAGGCCACGATTTGACACGGCCAGTCCCTGGATCCCAGGTTTTGGCAACCACGACCTCGCCCCTCTTGCCCTGCAGCTGCTTAGGAAGACCTGGAGCATCAGCAAGAGCATGGGGGCTGGATCCCAGGTTTAGAAAGGCATCACTGAGCCATCCGCTCTCCAAAGGCTTTTCCCAACCCTAATTCCCAGCATCTGGCGAGAGTCCCTTCCCTGCCTGCTGGAGGCACCGATCATGTCGGGTTTCACGTAGATGCTGCTCGCCCAGCAGCCCGGACTAGACCCGTAGGCTCCCCCTGCCCGGCGCTGCAGCACGGCGACCCAGAGGACGCCCGTCGGGGACACAACTCCTCCCCGCTGCTCCCATTTCTGCCACATCATTTTCCCTCCCGGGGCCGTCCCGGCGCCCAGGAACCGGCGGCCCCACCTCCCGTGCCTCTCACCGGACCCCCCCCCCCCCCCCGGGCGCGCAGGCGGGTCCCCGCCGCCCCCGCGGCGGGCAGGGCAGGGGGTAGGGGGGGGTGATGCCGCCCCGCCGCCTTCCCCGGGCCCGGCACCGCCGGGCAGGTGCCCCCCGCCGCCGCCTTCCCCGAGCCGCAGCCCCCGCACCCCCGCGGCAGCATCCCCATCCCGCGGCGGCGGCGGCGGCGGCGGCGGCGGCGGCGGCGGTGTGTCCCCCCCCCCCCGCCCCGCCAACGCCGCGGGTGGGCTCGGGCCGGCGGGCTCACCTTCTCCACGTTCTCCACGGTGAAGTCGAGGCCCTGTGGCGGCGGCGGCGGCGCCTCCGCCCTCCGCTCCATGGCTGCGGCGGCGCTCAGGAGGCGGCGGCGGCGGCGGCGGCGGCGGGCGGGCGACAGCGGCGGCGCGGGGGCAGCCGCATCGCGGCGGGACCCGCCTCCCCGCCCCGCCGAGGGCGGCGGCACCGGGGCGGTTCGGTTCGGCTGAGCTGAGGCTGGGCGCGGCGGGGCGGGCAGCACGGGAAAGCGCCCGTGGGGACGCCCCGGGAGGCGGCACCGCCGCTCCGCTCCGCTCCGGTGCCCGCTGCCCCGCAGGCGCGGCCGGGCAGCCCGGGACCTGCCGCCGCGCCGCACGCCGGGAGCGGTAGTCTCGGCCCACGCGCGTCCCCTACCGGGCGCCGAGCGCCGCCCCGGCTCCCCACGCGTGGTGCGGGCAGTGCCGGCGGCGCCGCCGCTTCCCACCCTCCCCGCTGACAGCCCACGGGTGTCAAACGCCACCGGCGGCAAGCCCGCCCTCCCCCCCCCCCCTCCCCCCCCTTCCCATCACGGGCACACGCAGGGGTTGGACTCGCAGCCCATCGCTTTATTGCTACAGGAGAAGGCGGCTGTACAAAAATAGAGTTTATCCCTCAAATTTTACAAATAATAGAAAAAGGGGGCTGGGGGGCACGGGGCACCGGGGCGCTGCCCAGGGCTTCACAGCAGCGCTGGGGTTAAATTACACCCGGCCCCCGGGGGCCCAAAGTCATAAATAGGAGCTGCCACTCAAGAACAATAAATAAATAATTTAGAGTAATAAATAGTTTAGTGCCACAGCACTGTGAGGGGACCCTGACACCCCCCTCGGGAGCCAGGTAGGGGCAGGGGTCCCAGCAGGCGTCCGTGCCCCACTCGCTGCCCTGCGGAGCACCGGGGGCTGCTGCCAGCCCGGGTGTGGGACCCCCACTCCGCGCTGGCGTGCTTTGGCCCCACTGCACCCCTGGCCTCGGGGACATCCTCTCCCTGCAGGGCAGCTCCGGGCACCGCCAGCCCCAGGGTGCCTGAGGGGACAGGGTGGTTTTGTCCCCTTTCTGTCCCCCCGTGAAGCTTGGGCGACACTTGGCCCCAGCTCCCTGACAGCAGGGGTGCGGGAGCACCAGTCCAGGCAGGGCGCGGGCGAGCCGGGTGCTGCTGGTGGGCACTGGGCTGGCAGACCCCTGCAAACAGCGGGGATGCTCTGTACCCCATCCAGCTCCTCTCCCAGGGCTGAGCTGGGGTGCGCCCGGGCAGGACCCCGCGTAGCTGGTGGCACCAGCTGCTTGGCACTGAGCGGGAGGGGGCTCAGCCACCCACCCCCCGGCACGGCTCCATCTCGCCTCAGTCCTTTGTGGTCACACAAAACCGGGGGCACCGGCCTCTGACAGAACCTTTCTCCGAGGGCCAGTACCACTGCGCCTGGCAAGCCGGGGTCTGCCGGCGTGTGTCGAGCTGGGGCCGAGCTGGCAGCCCCCTCCTCAGCCGATGCAGCTGCACTCGGCCGCCGAGAGCTTCTCCACCGTCTGCCACGTGTTCTGCACGTCCATGAAGGAGACGGCCTCGTAGCGGGTGGGCCGGCAGCAGGGGTGGCTGAGGACCCGCTCCTGCGGCCCCGGGGTGATGAGCTGCTGCCGCAGCAGGCTGCCCAGGGTCAGGTCGTAGTTGCTGCGCGCCCGGTGGCAGGATCCACTGCAGTACTTGAAAAGCACAATCTCGTCTGAGTTGAAGCCCAGGCCCAGGTCGCGCACCTTCACCATCAGGTTGCGGATGTGGCAGTTGCGCCCACGGGCCCTCAGGGAGTTTTTCCCCCCCAGCTTCTTCTCTTTGCCGTGGCCCGATGGCGAGCGCTCAGTACGCAGCAGCAGGTCCTCTGCCAGCTCCGCAGCGCCCGGGCCACCCGTCGTCACGTTGTCCCCTGCACGTGGAGGGGACAGCACCGTCAGAACCTATCCTGCACCCGCCACCCTCCTGGGACCTGCCAAGCCTGCCTGTCCCCCTCCATGACCTGCAGACCCCTCCTGACAACTCCCCACAGCACCGGCCAGGTGCACCCAGGGCGGTGGCATGGGTGGGCACCCGGACAGGCATCTTCTTATCCCCAGGGCTCTGCCACCATCCCCAGTGCCAAGTGCAGGGCCCCATGTGTTCAGCCCCCCCCAGCCTGACCCCAACATGCAAGAGGCAGCCCTGCACAGGCTGGGGGTCCCACAGCGGCTCCCAACCCGCCCATGCCCCATCCTTGGGGCTACCCTGCCGAGGCTGGGGGTCCTGCCGCAACACGCACCGTACAGCTGGCTCCTGGCAGCGGTGAGCGGTACCTCCACGCCATCCTCCACAGCCGGGCTGGCGGTGGCCGTGCCCCGCGGCGCAGGGGGGGCTGCCTCCAGCGTTTCATTGCAGTGCGGCGTTCGCAGGGTGCCCGCAGCCAGCCCGGCCAGCAGCGAGAGGATGGCGAGGAGCCCCCACAGTGTCCCCTCCTGCGACAAAGCACAGCACAGCGGGGTGAGCCCCGACCAGGGTCCCCACACCAGGGAGGAGGCTCCGTCACCTGGGGATGGAGGCGGGGATGTGTGGTCCCGGTCATCGCGGGCAAGCAGGCCTGGGCTCACCTTGGGCTGCGGATGCGTGGTGGGTCCTGCTGGTCTCGGTTCTGGTGGCCCCGCTCGCTGCTCCATGCTGGCTGCAAGTGCAGAGGTGGGGGTCAGCACCCACGCAGAGGGGACAGGGTGGGCACCGAGCTGGCTGGCTGGGAGCTGGCACACTCCTGCCCCTGTCAAAAGGATGCTATCCCCTCCCTCGCCCCACAGCATTCCACAACACCTCCTGCACCCCACGCATGACCCCTGTCCCCTCCCTGCACAGCCAGGCACCCTCGCCACCCCACGCACCCCTTCCAAGTGATTTGGCAACTGGGGTGACCCAGCCTTCGCCCAGCACCTCTCCTCAGGGCGACGTAGCCACCTCCTCACGCAAGCAGCCCGGGATGCCAGGCTGGGCCCTGAGGCAGTGGCTGGGGCTGGGAGTGCCACGGCGGGGGGGGCGCCCTTTCCCATGGCCCTTCCCTGGGAATGTTTTTCTTGCTTGCGGTGGGAGCCTGACCTTGGAAACTCCAAATCCATTAGCACAGGGTCCTTGGGTGCAGCCTCCCCCACTGGCCCTGCGCTTGCTCCCCAGCCTTCTGCCTGCACCGAGCTGGGACATGCAGCCCCAGAACAGCCCCAGGGAGTGAGGCCGCGAGGAGCAGGATGGGCAGGAAGGGCCCATGGGGACACAGCGGGGCACGGGGCACCACACTGGACTCGCTGTAGTCATTTACCCCAACACCACTGCCCAGAATCCACTGCCCTGACACACAAAGGGGAATTTGGTCCTTGCCATGCATAGTCCCAGCAGAGCAGCAAGCACGGTCTCAGGGGAATGATGTCCCCTGGGGGGTGCAGGGGCAACTCCCAGTCTGCAACCACATGTTGTACCTCCTTCCCCAGCTCCTCCGGGGTGCAAGAGAGCCCCTGTGCCTCAGTGTCTCAAGCCAGAATCCCCCAGAGGTGACTCCCAAAGGAGCCTGGACCCTCCTTGGCCCATCTGCTGCATCCCCTATCTCTTGGGATGGGACTGTCCCCTTGGAGCCGGGTGGTATCCTGCAGCAGGGAGTTCCCCTGTCCCATCCATGGCTTTGCCCCAGAATGTCCCAGGTGCTTTCATAGCAAAGCTGGGACAGGACACACTGAGGACAGTGCTCCTGGCCAAAAAAAGAAGTGATGCAGCTGGGCACCACTGGGACCAGGAGACAAAACCCGCTCCCCCAGTCCCCTCAGCATCTCAAGGGATGGTCCCGACTGCTGCAGCTGATGCCACCCTGCACTGACCACACGGTGGCAAAGGGCTGTGATGGGCACTGCCAGACCCATGCACCTCCTCCAGGGGCCGCGCACCGGGCAGGATGTGTCCCTGGTGCAGGCAGGGCTGGCACCAGGCCCCCCCAGCCCCGCCAGCAGCCGCAGCCTGGCCAAGCACAGCCCACACAGCACGTCGCTCCCGTGGCGGCCCGTGGCCCCGTGCCAGCCACTGCTGCCAGGTCATGGTTTTCCCAGGCCGGCACCCCTGGAGGGGGCCAGGCAGGGGTCCCCGCACCCTGCTATGAGGGGATGGGCCCCCCCGGTCCCCGCTCCCATGGCCTGTCGGCCTCAGCATCCCGACGGGACGGTACGGGATGGGATGGGACGGTACGGGATGGGATGGGATGGGATGGGACGGGATGGGATGGGATGGGATGGGACGGGACGGAGCAGCCGGTGCAGTTCAGGCTTCTCCCGTTCGGCGGCAGCACGGCCCCGGGCTCTGCGGCGGGAGCGCTGCCGGCGGGGCGCCGGGCGAGGGCAGCCTCCCTTCGCTCCCGGGAGCCCCGGAGCCGGGTCTACGGACGTGCCCCGCCAGTGCCTCCGCAGACACGGAGCCCCGTCCCCGGGGGCAGCTCTCCGAACGCGCAGGACCGCAGCCCCGCTCGGCGGGCCACTGCTTTCCCCCAGCGCAGGCAGGGCTGAGCCAAGCTGCTGGGCACCCCACGGGAGTGCCGGAGCTGCAGTCCCCACGGCAGACCCCCAGCTCCCGCATGGGGGGATCTAGCTGGGGTCTGTCACTGCCACGACTACAAGAGCCCAGCTGGGCCATTAACAGGCACAGGAGCCTTTTCCAGGGTCAGGATCAGGCCCATCCGTGTGAGGACCTGCCTGACCCCCCACCACACGTGTACCCCCGGCCGGGGGGCTGAGCAGCAACGTGCTGGGGGTAATCCCTGTGCGGGCCACCCCACACCCACCCGTGCAGAGCCGCGGCCAGAGCCGCGCTGCCCACCCTGTGGACAGGGAGCTGTGGAGCGGGTGCCCCGTGAGCTGCACTCGGCCCCCGGGGGGAGGCAGGAGCCACTCGCGAAGCGCATCCACGCGGGGCCAGAGGGTGCCCCAGCCCAGGGGAGAGGGTCTCAGCTCATGGAGTGGCTGCTTTTGGAAGGGGGCTGTGCTGGTGCCCCGCTCGCCACTGCTCGTCGTGTCAGCCCTGCAGCCGCAGGTCCTGCCTGGCAGCGCGGGTGGATGCCCAGGGATCCGCCACGGGCACCGGTGGAGGCCCGGCGTCCCCCCCGCGCTGCCCCTGGCAGGAGGAGTGACGAGGGGTCAGAAATCAACAACACCCCCCCCCCCACACACGTGTGACGCGGAGCTGGCACCCGCCCCGCAAAGCCGTGGGAGGCCGGCGTCGGACACGTGGGGCACACGGGCGAGACCAAACTCGGCCCCAACCCGGGGAAAGCGGAGCCGTGGGGACGCCGGGCACCCCCGCCCCGGGGCTCTCCCCCGCCCCCCGCCCGGGCAGCGGGGCGCAGACCCGTGCGACGTGCCCAAAGGGCCGGGGCGGGAGCCCGGGAAAGAGGCGGGTGAGACCGTCCCCGTGCCCCCCGTGCCCCCGCAGCGGGGTCCCGCCTCTCCCCGCCCCAGCAGGGAACCCCGTCCCCGCCGCGGCCCCCAGCGCTTCCCGCCGCCGGGCCGGGCTCGGCGGCCCGGGAACCGCCCGGTGGGGACCTGCCCGGGGGCGGCCCGAGCACCCCTAGCCGCCCCGCGGGTTTTGTCCGGGGGCGGGCGACGAAGCGGGGCCCCCCTCCGCGCCCCCCCCCCCCCCCCTCCCGCAGCCCCGGTACGAGTCGCCGCCGAGTCCCGGCGCCGCCGGCGGGCTGGGGCGGCCGCTGCCGCCCGCCGCCCCGGCCCGCACTCACCGTGCCCGCGGCGGGGACCATCCCCCGGGCCGCCGCCGCCCCGCATTGCCTCCGTTCCCCGCCGCCCCCCGCCGCCCGCCGCCGCCGCTCCGGGGCGGGGCGCGGGCGGGGGCCGGCGCTACCCCGCGGGCACCGGCACCGGCTCCCGCCGCTGCTCCCGGCGCCGCTCCCGCTGCGCCTCGCGGTTGCGGTCCCGGTCCCGCTGCGCCTCGGGGTGCGGTGCCGGCGGCAACGGGCGGGCGCGCAGTGCGGGACAGCGGCGGCTCCATCCCGCTCCCGCCGCCGCCGCCGGTGTCAAATTCCAGCCGCCGTCACCTGACCGGCGGGGCGGGCACCGGCACCGGGACCCCCATCCGCACCGGCACCGGCGTCCCGACCCGCACCCCCACCCGCGCCGCAGCGGCACCGGAACTCCGACCCGCACGGGGGCCGAGGCCGCCGCAGGACCAGGACGGCACCGGGATCCCGCCGGTATCAGCAGCCGCAGCCCGACCCGCAGCCGCATCCGCACCGGCTCCGCTCCAGAGCCCGCACCGCCGCCGAGCTCCCGCGGAGACTCGCACCCCGCCGGGAACGGCACCGGCAGCCCCGGCGGCACCCGACCGCCGCCACCACCCGCCCCGGGCCGGCAGGCACCTCTCGGCACCGCCGGGCAGGCGGACGGACGGACAGACGGACGCCCCCCCTGAGCGGGGCTCCCTGCCCCGACAGCCCGGTCACAGCGCTATCAGGACGGACACACAGACACCCCCCCCGGGGGGATGAGTTCAGCCCTTCCCGGAGCGCTCCGGGAGCAAAGCCCCACGGGGATCCCCTTGCACGCAGCGGGGCCACCCGGGCCCGTAGGCACCCGGCAGGGTTGGGGGTTTGAGAGGGGGGTGGCGAGGGGCCATCCCGGCAGCTCCCGGGCCGCGGCGGGGCTGGCCGGCGTCCCACGCACCCCGAGTCACCGCGGGCCACCGGTGTGCCTGGCGTCCAGGTCCTGCCTCGCCGGAGGAGGAGTCCGGCCTCCCTGCCCTGCCTCCCAGCCCTCCCGCAACCCCACGGCCCACGGGCGCCCCGCGGCCGGGTCCACCCCGGCGGGGTCACCGGCCGCCGGGCTCCTTACCTCTGCCGCCTCCCTGCCTCCCTCCGCCGGGGCCGTCGCAGGCCCCGGGGACATGGGGGGCCGGCTGGCGAGCCGAGCCGAGTCCCCGCGAGTCCTTACGTCACCGCCCAGGGCCCTCCACGTCCATCCCGGGGCTCTCGAGTGCTCCTTGCAAACGTGCCAAATCCCAGGGCCGCCTCCGCTCCGTCCCGCTTCACACGTGCTCCCCTGGCCAGCGCCGACCGCCGGGACGCAGCCCAGGCCGGGCACCCCCCCCCCCAGCCCCCGGTGCCAGCCCTCATGGCCCGCCGGCCCCCCAGGCCCTGCCTGCGGCGGGGTCCGGAGGCGCCCGGGGGGGCTGCGCACCCCGGGGCGCTGCCTGCCCCGGCATCTGCCCCGGCACCGTTCAACCGCCTCGGCGCAACCTTCCCCGGGTTTATATAACTCCCCGGTTGGAGCGGGGCCAGCGGCTCGATCGCCGGCAGCACCGCGGCTGCACGCTGGCCCTGGGCCGCCCATGGGGTCTGCCCCGAACCCCCGGGGCCCCCCATCTGCCCTTAGCTGCTTCCCCGCCCCGCAGCAGCCCGGACCCCGCAGGCCTGCGGCCGGGAGAGCCGGCCGGCGCGTGCGAGCCACTGGCAGAGCCCGCGCGCCCCGTCTTGTCTCATCTCGTCGGATTATCCAGCGCGGGGATGACAACTCCTGCGTCCCTCCTGCGGCATCACCTGCCAGAGAATGTGCTGACACAGGTGGCGCCGGCTAAGCCTGTCCCCTCCACTGCTAGAGGGGACAGAGGAGGTGGCACGCAGCCCCTGCCCTGGCCCTGGTCCTCCTCTGCTCCTGGCACAGGCACCTTGGCCAAGCTTGTGGCCGTGGGTGGCTTCACGCCTGCTCGTGGGGCTGTGTGGGAGGGTTGGTTCTGCCGTGGGACTGTGCCGCCCCACGGCCATGGCCTGAGGCTGCTCCCATCCGTGATGCCCCCATGGGAGCTGGCAGGGGTGACGCCCTGGGATGCCTTGGCCCAGCAGAGGTTTGGAGGCCCAGGAGCACCCCTGGGGTGGGGAATCGGCCAGGGGCAGGGGATGGGGGACAGGGAACAGGATCCTCTGCTTGGCAGTGCTGCAGACTAACGGGGCTGCCTCCTTGGAAAGTTTCTGCGCGAGTGGCGTGGCACGTCCTGCTCCGGGTTGCCTGGCTGCCCCCATGGGGCTGGGACTGGCCACGGCCCTGCCCATGCAGGGAGGGCTGCCCAGGAGGGGCTGTGGGCGGAGAGGAGAGCTGCCTCCCCCACGGACAGGCCTCAGGGCTCGGAGACTGCCTCAGGTGCTGGCTCACCCCAGGGGTTACCCCATCCCCTCCCACTTTCCCTGTGGGTTGGGCAGGTCCCCATGTCCCCAGAACACAGCTGGCAGCTGCGGTGGGTGTGATTGCTGGTAGTGGGCAGGGGGCTCTGTGGGGGGCACAGGGGGACATCCAAGGGACCCCATACAGTGTTCCCGGTCCTGTGAAAGGGGTGTCTGTGCCAAGCTTGGCCTCTGTCCTCTTCCAGGTGTGACCCCTTCATGGACACTACGCAGACACCTGGGGGCCCTGACTCCCTCCTCTGCCCCTGGCCCTTGTCGTGGGAGATGTGACCACACTGCTGCTGCCAGCCCTGCTGATGTCCTTCCAGCAGCACCTCCTCCCCGTCCCCCCGCGATCACGGTGGCAGGAGGTGGCACGTCCTAGCGCTGTGCCTCAATCCGGACGCTGCTCTCTTCCCTCGGGCTCCCACGGGTATTGGCTCTGCCCCGGGGAGTGCTGAGCGTGGGCTGGGACCCAGAGGGTGCTGGGGTGCAGGGCAGGGTGCCCGGCCCCACGGGTCTCCAGTCAGATGGGTGAACTGCTCCCTGGCTTGGTGCGTCCCAAGGCACCGCCCGTGTCAGCCTGTGCTCCTGCACCCCCAGGGACGGGGTGTCCCCATGTCCCTTGTCTAGTTTGGAATGAGCCCTGCGAGGCCAGGACCTGCTGTGACATCTATCCCTGAAGGTGCCACCCTTGCGTGAGGCGGGATGGGGGTGATGTGGTCCAGCCAGATGGCAGGACTGAGCACGCCATGGCCGCTGCCGTGCCCGTGTGAGGCCGTGGCTGGGTGTGACAAAACACACGTGGGAGAGGGCAGTGATGTAGACGGACCGACCCAGTTGCATCATCCCCATCGCAGCGGTGATGTGGCTCCTTCAGGGACACCTGCTCCAGAACAAGTGTCCTGGTCTCTGCTGACCTGAACCTCTCACGGTTGTCCCCATGTGACCCAGCCCCAGGCCCTGCGCTCTCCCCCCTCCACAACCCCCCTAAGGCCAAGATGGGGCACGGGCCACCCCTGGGGCTGGCCCAGCCCGATGGCAGTGGTGGCCCTGCTCTTTAAGGACTGGGAAGAGAGGAGGGCAGGAAGGAGGGTTTGAGCAGCTCCAGCATCGCCTTTCTGGGAGGGATCCGGAACTTGCAGCCGCACACCGGGGAGGGCTGCGCAGTTGCCTTGGCCGCGTCCCACTGGTGCTGGCAGGAAGCCACCCGTTGTGTTTGGGAGCTGGCAGGTCTGGCAGACCGGTCACCTACCTGGAAGCCATCACCCCATTCCCTCGGGCAGTGGGACTGCACCCGACTCGTCCCACGGCTCCGGAAGCCCCGTGGCACGGCCGGGGGTTACGCTGCTCCCGCCGGGACCTGGCAGGTGTCGGAGCCACTCACGGCCTCAGCCCCCGGCTTCCTAAACCGCTTCCTTCCTGGACGCTGCAGCGAGAAGGTCACTTGGCCGGACACCTGCCTTTGTCGGGGCCGCACCCAGCCTGATTGCTGCCGTGACCCTCGGCAGGAAGCCACCCCGCTGGCAGGGAGTCCCCAGGAGAGCAGGCAGAGTCGCAGGAGGCCCGCACCGGGCAGGACAAGCCCCCACCCCTCCGCCCCCCGACAGGACGTGCACCCAACCTGCGAGACCTTCTCTTCAGGTCACCTGCAAGGAGGAGCACAGCCCTCTCCTGTCCCCAGCACCAGGCCAGTGGCACTGGCCAGCTGCAGCTCTCGGCAGCCGCCTCTGGGTAACTGCTGGAGGCGTCAGCAGTGAAACCAGGCTGGGGACAGCCCGAGCAGGGGAATCCCTCTGTCTCCCCTAAACAAGGCCAAAGGCAGCAGAAGAAAGAGGCCAGCCAAGCTTGTTTGATAGCTTTATTGCTTCTGTGATATGACTGAATTGATGTGACATAAGCCTGCTTGGAGGAGCCTGCAAGACTCTTGCCCTCCCTGCCTAGAGGGGGAATTAAAAAAAATCGCAGAAACTAAAACTAATTTTAAAAACTCATTGAGTTCT